GACCAATGATCAACCTTCAATCTCAACAAGGAAAGCAAGTTTAGGCCAAACCCCACCAATAGAACATGAACCCCTTTAATCACACACTCAAACTATAGGTGAATTCTCTTAGCAACCTAGTTTGAGAGAGATAGATTCTCTTTTTGCTATACCCTAAAACCCTTAGTCATAAATTTATAGTTGAGAGATGGGAGAGAGAAGAATTTCATTGCCTAAACCCTTAGCTTCTTTTACAATGTGGGAGCGATAGATCTCAAAGATGAGAGAGTGGGTCGTGCCTCTTTTGTGGGGTATGAGAGAGAAAGACGAGAATTAGGCATAAGAGATAAGTGTAGAGATTTTGGGTAGCGACAAACTATTTTTTTATAGGCTTTAAACAAGATTAGGGTTTCTTAATGTTTTTCTTGGCTTGCCTCTTCTTGTGAGATTGAAGATCAACCGTCGATTAAGGGTGACTTGTGAGGTGAGAGATCTGAGCCATCCATTCCATACATGGGCCATCAACATTATGGAATGCGCTTGAACCCTTATCCGTCTTTCCTAAACCATTTCCTATCAATAAAATTAAATCAAATTAATTCTAATCAAAATATTGTGCATTCCATAAAATAACACAAATCTACTCATGCATTCCAAAATATACATTCAAATCTTTCTTAGGTCAATATATGTCCAACACATAGACCAATCTTTGACCACAATTCAAAGATGACTATTTCTAAAAGGAAGAACATCCAAAGAAGGGGTGGGACGAGCCCCCCATGAGGGGGCTTAATGGGCCCCACCTTCTAGAACATGGTGGGCTCATGTGCACAATGGGCCCTCATGAAATTTTTATATATTTAAAAATTCTTAAAAATAAATTTTAGAATATTATTTGAATATTTAAACTATTGTAAAATCAATAACTTTAATTTTATAAAACCAAAAATTATAAATAAAATATCCAGAGGTTTATAAAAATTCAAATAATAATTTTAAAATAATTTATATAACAAAAAAATATAATTAAATCAATTTGATAGGAAAAAG